ACTGGAAAATTGCAAGGGTACAATCAGTTCCTGAATAAGGCACAAGGGGTCCCTTTCTAGCAACTACAGACCGATCGCACTGCTATCTATTATCTCGAAGGTCATGGAGAAAAATATCAACATCGAGCTCATGAGATACCTGGAACATTAAGGTATTATCAACGATATGCAACATGGCTTACGTCATCAGAGATCAACTGGTTACCTGCTCGCTCACGTCTCACATAGATGGCAGCAATCTATTGAGAAATATGGTGAAACCTCAGCCGTGGTACTTGATATCTCCATTTGATCGAGTCTGACACCACGGACTCCTCGCCAAGCTTCCATATCATGGCTTGGTTCTCTGCTAACTAGTTTCCTCTCAAACAGGTCTCTCCATGTAGTGGTCGACGGAGTTTCATCTGACTCTCATCATGAATGCAAGTGTTCCGCAAGGATCAATTTTAACACCAACACTATTTTCACTCTATATCAACAATTTGTTGGGTTCAACTTCATGTCCAGTACACAGCTTCGCGGATGATAGTACCCTCTATACCGCCTTCTCTTCTAGGGCTCCAATACCAGCCAGGCAAATTAGAAACGAACGAGGGAGAAATGTTGACAACATAAATATGGACTTGGCAACAATTATCGAATGGGGATCGAATAACTTGGTAGATCTAAATGCGAACAAAAACAAGCATGCTATTTCTCTGTAACATAAGCTGGTCAAAAGTAACCATACCTTTAAAGACATCCATTTCGATGCTTGGTATCACTATCAGCAATAACCCTTCTTGGGAAAATCACGTGATATCAATGATTGCCAAAAGTGGATCCAACAAATTTGATTTTCTGGTCTGGGCCTGAAGCTATTCAACTCTTGGTCAGCTGCTCATGATCTATAAGGCACAGATCCGACCTACCCTGAAATACTGTTACCATATTTGGAGTGCAGCACCCAAACATACCCTGAAACTGTTGGATTATCTCCATATAAGTGCAATTCGTCTCGTGGGTGATGCCTCGCTCACAAACTCACTCACTTGTCTGGAACACCGTAAAAAAGTTGTAGATCTGGCTCTATTTCATAGATATTTTCATGGACGATGCTTTTCTGAAATATCGACAATTGTTCCTCCCTTGGCAGTCCTAGCAAGATTGACTCGTCGAGTTGAGGCTTCGCTTCCCTTTGTGGTCACTTTGAAGACCTGCAGAACATATCTCATCAAATCCTCGTTCATCCAACCAACAGCGAGGCTCTGGAACACATTGCCAAGGAAGGTGTTCCCCGAGGCATATTACCTCCAGAAATTCAAGAGGATCACCAATTCCTACCTCAATGTTCTCTGAACATTACAGGATATCCCTTTTCATGGAAACCAGAACATAAAAAAAATTAAGTCTAGTTCACACAAGACGGTATTCTCCTCATACATTATGAATTGTTAAATGAAAATCCACACACACAAATCTATGTTTGGTAAAGTTTGATGAGCAATTCATCAATTGGACATTACGTATTGCCTCAGACGTTGAGGAGCGTTGTATATTCAAATTTCATCCAATTTTGCCTGTATCGCTTGATAACATTAACTCAGAACAGATGCATTTCCAACATGATGGTGATCTGCCTCATTTCAGTGTTGACCTCAGGGAACACCTAGATAGCTGCTCTCTAAATCGTTGGATCTGAAAAAGAGGGCTCCTTTCTTGGCCAGGTGGGTCCCCAGATTATAACCCTTTCGATCATATTTTCAGGGGGCATCTGAACAGAAGGTCTACAGTGATCCCATTGAAAACAGAGAACAGTCCTTGAAATGTATCGTAGATTATTGTGAATAAATCAAACAAAATCATCGAATGATTCGGAATTTGCAGGTTGGCTGGTGGAATGAATTGAACATTCATTGTGATAATTTATTTCATTTTTCATTTTAATATTATATCAATTTCAAGTAGAATAAAATGAATGGTATGTTTCTCGCGATATTTTTTTCTGAAGGTCACTTGAATGTGCCAAAGGAGGTATTCTGATTTTTCCATTCATGAATCTATGTTGTTTCAGGGATACGAAGCAGTGATCAAAAATTCCAATATTACAGAAACCCTGGATTAATATTCTCCATATTTTGTTTTTCAAAAAGTTCACTTCGATTTCTAGACTGAGTATGAAGATATTCCAGACAAATTGATTGAACTATTGGAAAGATATAAGGTGAATCAATTTTGGCTAAAATAGTAACACGATCTAGTATCTTGTAATTACGTCGAATTGGCCAATTCGAATATTCCTTTTTTATGGCAGAGGTATGTCAAATGTACACTATTAGTATGTTAAGTGGCTTGTGAAACAACCTGTGTACATTATTATTGAATCTTTTTCTGAAATCTGAAGTGATGACACAGAGTTTGGGAATAGATTTGAAGTATAGTTGGAAAACTATTCATCTACTCACTGCATCGTGAGAAGGCGTTTGCTTCCTCATTTGGGGACACAATCCTGTCAATTCAATACCACGGGACCAAAAAAAAAAACCTTCCGAGGAAGGTAACATAAATTGGCTTTTGCTTGCTTGGTAGAGATATACGTATCAGATTTGTGTTACCCAAGTACCTATCTAGTGTCTCCATCACTACTTCAAAACGAATAACAATTCTCTTCTTGAAATCTAATGACCTCATACACTTCTCCATATTCCAAACACATGAATCGAAACTTTGAGTAAAATACAATTTTACAATAAACTAACTCGATGTACCAGAAATGTCAAAATGCTTTCGTTCGTAATCTTAGGTCATGTTACACATTGATTTGGATCGAGACTCGTGAGATAGACCGCTTGAAGCACAATTCCAAGGACGACGTTCTGAAATATATGCGTTCGTGGATAAAATCATTAATATATCTTGGGAGTTGGGGTTCATTCACTCCCATGTGTGTTCAATACCCCAAGCCCAAACTTCACACGCGGATATTAATGAATACCTTTGCTACCTTGATAAATAAATGAATACTGTTTCATATCGTAAACGGCACAATCCACCAACAAGCAAGTCATCAACTCACGACTCAACTAACCAACCAAACAACTCAACATTAATGTCATTAGATCAACACCCAATCAACCCCATCAGAGACCGAAATCATCACCGACCCAGATCATCAACGCACCCATTTCATCAACATGCAACTCACCAACGACTAGAATCTTCAATGGCCAAACTCATCAACAACCCGATTCATCAATGTAACAACTTCATCAACATCCAAAACACCAATGAAACAACTCATCAACGACCCAACTCATCAACGACCCAACTCATCAACGACACAACTCATCGATGTACCCCTCTCATTAACGCATTCCTATGATGAACGCATTACTATCACTAACACTCAACTCTTCAGCAACTCAACCCACCAACGACCATCTTACCAACGACCTGAGTAATCAACGACCCAATCCATCAACAGTTCAACTCATCAACGACTCAACTCATCGACGACTGAACTCATCAACGACCAAACTCATCGACGACTCAACTCATCACCGACCTAACTCATTATCGTCCCAATCGACTCATCAACAAGGATCCAATTATCATATGTCACCAAATATTCTCAAGACAGGACAACTACCTGATTGTTTAACTGATGAACTTATCACATGAAATTTGTCAATAGCAACGAATAAAAATCCTTGATCATGTAAGCAGAATGCAGGATGGGTTTAAGTAGGATTCAATGATTATTCACATTTCGTATACATGCGTATTATTTATTATTCATAAATGATCGAAGATAACTATTTGTTACAGTCGACTGATCTGATGTGATGAACCATCTGGGGCGATCCATCTTACATTGTAGTTGGGGCAATAGGACAGGAAGAAACTCATATAGTCTACTTCACTAAAATTATACTTCAATATGAGCAATCCACGGAGACAAGTTAGAAGCTTCAAAGATTCATCAAATGCATTAAGCTACAGGAGAGAACCATTTTGGAAAGAAAAATTAGGTTCACATACTCATTATTGTAACAAGAATTGGGAATTACTTGTAGTATATATTTGAAGTTAGAAAATTGAAAGAGAAGTGGGCAACCACAAATTGCCCATGTCACTGTAAATTTCTCACATTGAAGTATAATTTCGGTGGAGTAGACTGTATCAATTTCTTCCTGTGATGAGTTAATCAGTGAAACAATCAAGTGGTTGTCCTGACTTGAGAGTATTTGGTGATGGGCTATATTCAATACCTTGTCGATTGATTGAGACGTTGATGAGCTGGGTCGGTGATAAGGTGGGTCGGTGATGAGTTCGGTAGTTAATGATTTGGATCGTCGATGAGTTAGTCGTTGAAGAGTTGGGTCGTTGATAAGATGAGTGTCGATGAAATGGGTCAATTGATGAGTTGGGTATTCTTGAAATGGGAGTTGGTGAGTTGTTTGTTTAGCAGCTGGGGTAAACCCTATATACCGATGGAAAGTTACTGTTTGCATGTGCCAAATATTTTTCATGGATATGAATTGTTTCTCTCCAGTTCATCTGCAGATTCAAAGTGGCCTTATATGCAAAAACTAGGTAACCTGATTTCTAAGTGAAGCCAAGTGAGGAGAGTTTTCCGTATTTCCTAGAATTTCCTATGCTTACAAAAATACGAAATACGAAATTTGGCACTTCTGAAAAGTGAACTGGAGATTTGTGCGAGAAAAAACTATATTCCATACCGTAACTTCTGCACTTTTTGGGCGCTTTGTCTGGAATGGTACCATCATGACTGATTTTCTTGAAGGTTGGTTTCTCAGAGAGTCTTGCTACCTCCAGACGCCCCTCTCTTCATTAGCCATTTGAGACGTTTTGGACTGCCCTGCTCATGAATTAGCTCAACAGTATTTTATGAAATGATTGATACCTCCAGCAAAGCCCCGTATTACTTTGCATTACCGAGGAGTCATTAGCAGAGGAATTGCGATATAAATTATCTTTCAAATCATCCTTCATTGCAGGTTCCAACATTACCGACACCAAATCTGGTATCCTTATCGTTATCTCACAATTTCTTGCCGAGTGTTCCTCCAGAAATGGCAACGAATATGACTAATTTGCGAAGGCTTGATTTGGATTTCAATGATTTGACTGCAGTTCCGATTGTCACTCACTCTTTAGTGAAATTGCGTTATCTTTCGATGGTAGCCAATTCTATAACATATTTGAGCAATACAAGTCTTCTTGGAGTCGCTGATCATATTGTTGAGTTGGATATCAGGAAAATGGATCTCACAAATCTAGAGGTAAGAATAAAACCGGGTGACACTGGGTCACCCCTGTTACTTCTGCATTCAGAAACGGACTTTTATGAAATTTTATATAGGCGTGTAAGCAACCGTTTCAGATCTTATGACATCTAAATCCAATATGGCTGACTCCCGGTTTTTCTGTGCCAACAACTTTCTTTTTTCGAATGAGGCACCCTCTATACCTCTACATATTCAAAGTCAACAGATCAAAACAAGTGCAGTTTCATGAAAACATTGAAGAATGTTGTTCTCTTCAGCTCACTTGGGAAATTATTCGAACTGCAAGAAAATTCATGGAACCAGTTGTTGATATGTAAATGAATACAATTTGATTTTACACTGACATACGAAAGTGATTCGTAATTTTTTTTTATGTTCGAGAGGAACATGTAGGTGGCCCATAGTAGTTCCATTTGAAATAATTGAACTTTTGATCGAAATGTAATGTGACTGAAATATTCATCGATAAGTGACACTGAAAATAGTTTCCAAGATAAAATATGTTTTCCTAGTATGTGGGACTCATCGTGAATAGCTTTCACACATCTCATTTATCCACAGGTAAAATAAATCAACAATTTCAATTCCGACATTTTAGATGAAATTACATTCGACACTGAGATTGCACTGGTTTCGACCTGTTCAACTGAAGTATGTTAAAATATACAGGGTGTTCTATTTGAAAAAACAGTGTTGCTGACATTGGAAAAAACAGGAATCAGCCATATGATTTCATAATGTGATCAAATCCGTAATAATTGCTCATATAACAGTAAAATTTCAGAAGAATTCGTTCACGAATGAAGAAGTTACAGGGGATGCCCGACACCCTGTTTCTCCCGGTATAGTTTTAACTTTGATATTGCTATGCATATTCGTTCCATCAATAATAATCGAGAGTAATATCCCGAGACCATGACAAATATCCGACTATCATTTCCTTCATAATTCTATCGAGAGTACCTTGTATTTTGACAATTCGATGAGACCATATGAATAGTGATAATCTGCTCGAGGGAGTTATTCTATGATCATTTATGATTATTAATGAATTTAAAGAAAATTATAGTCTCCATGTGTCATGGTCGAGTGATATTCAGGAAGATTTCTTCATGAATAGTGTGAAAATACTGGTTTATATTAGTTTCAACATTTTATTCATGTTATAATTCTGCAGATACTATTTGAATAAAAATTCTTCTGATGGCCGTCTGGGGTATTCTCGTTATATCTACGTACAATTGTAATTAATTCAACTGAAGTTTAACAAAAAAAGAATATCAACGCCATTGATAGCGTTAATATTCTTTAATAAGAGCTTCTGTTCTTTCCTTTCTTGTTTGAGGAAAATATTGTAGGCTTCGCCTTTCTGCATTATGCGCAACCCTGGCACCTTTGAATTCGATATATTCAAATGTGCCTTCATGTTCTTTGAAGTAACCTTTCTGTTTATAGTTTTTCATATCAATTCCAACTGTGTATCCCTACTTATCCTCACCATTCCTCTTACCCAATCTTTTAGGATTTGGGCAATCACGAGAGATGGGGTAGTCGCACAAAATTCGAAGTTTTTCTGCTGGCAAAAAAACATGAGTTGTTCCAGACAGACTCTTCACTCTTTCTATTATTTTCTGATATCGATTCGCTTACATGATCACGAATTTTCGTAGTGGAAGTTGACCCAAAACAAGACATTTGAATTTTTTTGGGGCTGATAGGTATGTCAAAGTTTGACAACCATAGCACTCTTATGCTGGCGAATAGAATAGCCGCACATATTGTTTGTTTGTCTCAGTAGCCGCTGATATCGCATATCATGTGACTCCAATCATGCATTCGATAGGTCCAGTCGAGTGTGAATGGAATAATCATACTATTTAGCTCTTCTACTCAGGAAGAATTTGATTCGAGTATAAAATTAGCGCAAAATGTTGATTGATTTTTCAATAGTTCGAAGAAAAATCGATACATGGATTCTGAATAAAAAACTACTACAGAAGTAGAGAATATTTCATATAGTCTGATATAATTGATGATTAGAGCCTGAGGAGTACAGGAGATATAAGAAAACATAAGAAAAACAACTCCTCAGTAGAATGAAAAATAATGTTTGGAATCAATTGTTCATTGCAAGAAAAGTCAAAGAATGAATCAATCTATCAAATCCATGACACATCACATATATATTGAATCTACTCCTACCTGCAACCCGTTTTCTTCATTACCTAGTTCACCAAAGCTGTTGAGGTAACTTACATTGTTTCGAATGCATCATCACAACGTTCACATTCATATAATGAAATGGTGTACAGTACATAATCATCAGATTTTCAAAACTGGATTGTGGTACTTGCATAACAAGTATGATGGGTCTGAATCAAATGATTACAGATCAATATATATACTTCATAACAATATTCTCCCGTATCTGGAGTAATAATTGTTGAATTATGACTTTGAAGAAGAAACACCTTTATTTCAGATCAAACAACGATCAACCTATTAACGTGATAAAATCATCTGAATAAATAATCATTTTCCAGAGCGTTCGACACAAAAAAATTGTTTGAAAATTGTTCTTATCCATCATTCGGTTGCCCCCTCACGAGCAACCTTCAAAAGTCTTCAAGATACTGTTGCGAGCTAGGAATTACGGGGGTCTTACTTCTGAACGTGTGATCCCAAACACATTCTCAGGCCATCAGGTTAGGTTGAAATCGAACCCACCAATCCGACGTGAATAAAATACTGACGCTTCAATTACGAGGCTACGCTGCTTTGGTTCACTGCAAATATGGACTTCACTGCAGAGTCACGTCTGTTTCTATTTGATATTGTTTTTTTGAAATAAATCCATGAAGCTAACATTCAGTTTCAGTAATTCGCGACGATATCATATACGAGGTGTTTCGCAAATTTTTGCACTAAATTCAACATTGAATATTCTCGTGATCATTCCACTCATATGGATGCATATTTTTCATTACAGAAACGGATTTTCTGAACAAAAGTTACATCTGGTCATTCTCTGTGAAATATTGAAGAATTCTCCATACTCCCAGTCAGACTCATTTCCTTTTGTAAATTATTTTATCCAAATTCTCATAATAATTGGGTAGCTCTAGAACATTTTGCATTCACGAATTCCTCATTCCTTCGATCAATTCATCATTCATAGGTGAAACAAATATCAATTGTATATTTTGTTGTTATATAAATACGATACATTTCAAATGTACAGAGTGATTCGCGAAATTATTTGTGAGGTAGTTACATTCTGACCAAGCACGAAACATTCATTAACTTGAACAGAGTTATCTATGAAAATCAACGATTGGTACTTTTCATTCCCTCGAATTGTTAAAGAAACATGATTGATAAAACCATGAAATTTGTGGAGTTCATAAACATCAACAATGGCTGGTAAAAAAAAACCAGCTGGTTTCTTGGGATACGAATCATAAACGATTCCAAATCTTCTAGGAACTCGATAAGTGTGATGAATAATGAACGAGAATAAGGGTTCCATGAATCTCTGTCGGTACCATCCTGTATATTATTTTCTTCTGGCAATTTGTACAATTCCTAAAAGAACATCGTGTGCAGAAGCAAACAATGGCACTATTTATCTATAAACGGATCTATTCCACTTGAAGAAACTCATATTCATAACAAACTCATAACAACTATTTGAGTGTAGAACGATTCATAATACGTGATATAAAAATGTCTCTGTGACACTTACTGATTGTCTGAATGACGGCTGCTGTTTGGCTCGTCCTTAAATATATTTGTCTTGGCTTCTCGAACATTCTCGATCATCCTCCGTGCCCTTCTATTGTTCGGAAACCGTCTTAGAACATCACCTTTCTCTCAAATAGTTTCGTTGATTTTTGCTTGATGATTCGAGATTACTTCGAGAATTTTCTGTCGCAGTAATATGCTGATACATTGGGATGTTCGAGGACATTCTGAATTGCATGATACAGGGTTATCTTTGTATTTTTGCCTTCTCAATGATGTTCTAGCCCCTCTCTGGGAAATATCATTTCACTGCCTCCTGATTGAACCGCATTTTTCCTGGATGACAACTGGTTCCATTTCTTTAACGTGAGGTACGGTAGGAGGAGCATGACAATGTATTCTCCCTTGAGTTTCCTCTCGGGTTTCTGCAACATACCAGAATCTAAACTCCAGTGAATCGAAACACAACCTTCAGCACGTTTCTCACAATTCCTCAATCTGAGCCATCCAGATCACAAGCCAGCTATGGAACAACTTTTTGTATGTTTTCTTGAGTATAACGCTTCGTGCGTCGACAAGCATATGCTAGAGTTCCTTGTTAGTGAGTTTCTAAAGAGATATTCCCTTCGTTGTCGAAGAAAATAGGTACTCTTCGAAGTTCCTTCAATTCTCCAAATATCTTCATGGCCATATTGGCTATTTCTTGATACATCTGAAGATCCTGTGTGATAGATGACATCGTTTAACTCCTTTTTGACGATGAAAGGTCCTTCCCAAGATCCCTGATGATGCGGACAAGTGCCTTGTTTCCTTTGGGGCATTCCGGATCTCAGAGGAACAAGCATGCTTCCTCGATGAGTTGAATAAAAGGCTTTGCGATATATGAGGGGTCAATGCTGCCCCATTGAGGTGGACCCACTTCAGTTTACTGAAATTTGGTCATTCCTCAGCAGAACGTTCAAAAGTTCTCTGGAGGATTTCCAACTTCCCGCAATTCCAACAACGTACTGGTCTCTTCTTCTCATTCCACAGAATTTCAGTATTCTAATCCGCATTTGCTTGCCGGTCGTGGTTTTTTTTTATCGCTTGAAGCGCACGAAAGGAAATCCCTATAATGTTCAAAAAACATCGTGCGTTCCTGGGGAGGATAGGAACAGGAGGTTGGTATTGGAATTTTTTTGAACTTCTGGAGATTGTATGTTCTTGGGAATACTTCCTCAGGCAATGAATTCCAGAGCCTAGCCGTTCTT